TTGGGACATCTGCTGCTGTCAGTAGAAAGGGTAGCTCTTTTCTGCAGCTGGTCATCCCATTATCTGCTGTGCTCTGGCTGAACCTGGGGCTTTTATAGGCCTAATAGAGGGAAAGTGCATGCTGATTGGTCCATAGGCAGCCATGGGAGGACCCAGGAAAAACCACCATGAGTTTGTCCTCCAAATCAGCAGGACTGGCAGTCCTGTCCCCAGGCTTCAGGCCTTTTCTCAGAGATCTGCCCCCTTCTGCCCAGGTATCTGTCTGCCTCCCCCTGCTGTTCATGGCACATGGGCTTGGTCCCGATTTGCTCCAAGATGGGAGCAGGTGCCCACAGCAGGGAGAAGCCAAGCAGCAGGAGCAGGTACTTCTGAGCCTACAGGGGCAGGGGGGCCTTCTCAGCTCTACCGCCTCCCCCACAGAGTGCAGGGATACCTGGGTCTGCAGCCACAATATGGGCTGCTGCAGTGACCCTAGGGGAGTGGGTCTCCTGCCTGCTCCTGGTCCCCCAAAAGTGCAGGGAAGCTCCATTCTGCAGCCACAGCTTGGGCACCTGCAGCCCTTCCCAGGAAGGTGAGGCTCCTGCCTCTTCCGTGGAGCCAGAGGCCCAGGTCTGCAGCTGCAATTTGAGCAGCTGCAGCTGCACCCAGGGAGCTCCCACCCCACCTCAGAAGGAGAAGGGCTTATGCTTGTCCCCTGCTGCCTGGAGCTCCATGGAGCATGTAGCCTCGGCGGCACCTCCCTGCTGCAGTCGGCCTGATGGCAGCGGCAGGCCATCTGGAGTGGCTGCTGCTGTAACTAGAACCTTTAGTCAGTAGTAAACAGTGAATCAAATAAGTCCATTTCCCTGAATTATCCTTGTATGGATCTGTTAAACAGTGCCTTCATATGACAATGAAAGAATATGTTGCCCTACTTTTGACCTTATTTCCAAGCTTTGAAAAACTTTTCTTAACATTTGGGATCAAAATGTGATTTATGCCACTGTTACCCAGGGGCGCTTATGGTAACACTCAAATTTTCTTTGAAGGGAAAAGTCAATATGGTAAAGTTGTCAGTTCTCCCCAAGGTAATCTTTAAAATCAGTCTGATTTCATTAAAACCATAACAAATATTTTCATATTACTTGGTAAATAAGCCCAAAACTAATTAGGAAGAGCAAAGTATCAAGAATGACTCAGACAAATTTGAAGAAAATGAACCATTTTAGGAGAATTGCCCTATGAAATGCAAAAACTAGTTATAAAGCTTTATTAGCTAAGACAATGTAGTATTGACGCAAGGATAAACAAAGAGATAAATAGAACCTATAGGGAACCTACAAACATGATGATGCACATTTGAAAGCTAGACATATATAGCACTACTTAACTCTGGGGGAAAATGGACTCTAGTAAATGTTGTTTGGCCAGTTGTTTATATATTTTAAAAAAATAAAATTAGATTGCCAACACATTCTATAATTTTAGAAAATTTCCAGGTGAATAACTACCTAAATATAGAAAATCAGAATGTTAATACATTTTGAAGAAAACATAGGCCCAAAGGCAGTGGCTTATAGCTGTGATCCACTTTGGGAGGCCAAGGGAGGAGGATCACTTGAGACGAGCAGTTTGAGACCAACCTAGGCAACATAGTGAGACTGCATCCCCCACCTCCCAAAAAAGGGAAGAACATATAGAGTCTTTTTATAACCTTTGGGCAGAAAAGTCCTTCTTAAACAAAACAGAAAACAATACCTATTTACAAATGTGGATATACTTTAAAAAATACTTTCCTCTAAACCACCATGTTTCAAAGAAATACAAAAAGACCAGCTACAGGTAGGGTGAAAGTATTTGCAATATGTTTTAGGAAATATTAATATACAAGATATATAAAGATATCTCATGTAAATTAATAAGAAAAGTCACTCAACCCAACAACAACAGTGTAACAAATGGGTAAAAGAAATGATTTGACAATTTGTGGAAGTAGACAGGTGACCTATAAACATATGAAAAAATGTTTACCCACACTAGTAATCAGGAAAATGCAATTAAAATCACATTGTGCTATCTTTTTACACCTATATGATTGGCAGTACTTAAAGGATCTGAGCATAACAAGTATTCCTGAGGGCATGGAGATTTGTTGTCTAATAAAATTGAAAATGCTTATATTCTTTTCTTTGACTCAGAAATTTTATTTCTGGATATATATCTTGGAGAAACTCATTCATGTGCACAGGGACGCATGTATGAAATTGACTGTTACAGCAATATTGTATTATAGTTAAAATGGAAAACAACACAATTATCCAGCTGCAAAATAATGAATAAATACATTTTGGCATATTGATAAAAGATGATACTATATGGTTGTTAAAATAAATTCGGTAGATTTACAGTTATAGTCATGGTTAAATCTCAAATGTATTGCTGAATGAAGCAAACTGAGTTGCCGAAAGAGAGGTATACTTCATAATTTTTGAAAATAAACAAATGTATATAAATTATGCCTATTGATGCATATATATAGATTCTGTTTCAAAAAATACATAGAAAAGTCACTTTATTCTTTTATTATTATTATTATTATTATTATTATTATACTTTAAGTTCTGGGGTACATGTGCAGAATGTACAGGTTTGTTACCTAGGTATACACATGCCATGGTAGTTTGCTGTACTCGTCAACCCATCATCTAATTAGTATGGTGATTACCTCTGTGTAAGCAATGAAGGAATAAAACTAGAGACAAATAATAAATGGACTTCGTCTTTTCTGTAATGTGTTTCTTTAGAAAAAATATGATTCGGGCCGGCCGTGGTGGCTCACACCTGTAATCCCAGCATTTTGGGAGGCCAAGGCGGGAAGATCACGAGGTCAGGAGTTCAAGACCAGCCTGACCAACATGATGAAACCCCATCTCTACTAAAAATAGAAAAAACATTAGCCGGGCTTGGTGGTGCACGCCTGTAATCCCAGCTCCTCAGGCGGCTGAGGCAGGAGACTCTTGGACCCGGGAGGCAGAGGTTGTAGTGAGCCAAGATCACGCCACTGCACTTCAGTCTAGGTGACAGAGGGAGACACTGTCTCAAAACAAAAACAAAAACAAAAAAAAGAAAAAATATGACTCAAATATAGCACAATGCTAGGATTTAATAAAGGTGGGTATTGGGTACATGAAAGTTTATTATCTATTTCACTACATTTCTCATGTTTGAAGTATTTCATTATGAAGAATAAAAGTGATATATACAAAATATATATAGAAATGTAAAAGTATTATACAATAAACAGTATCAATACATACACTGCTCATAAACATAAGTATGAACACACACACAAACACTTGTATGTATATGTAAGTATACACATGCACATGAATGAGCATTACATATTTGAAGTGTACACCTTGAATGGGAAGGATGCCCTGTAATTCCTGGTTAAGTTTTTCCTTAGGGAAGATAGATGTGTTGTGAGACTGGGTATTAGGCCCAAAGCATATTTCAACTAGATCTCTTATGTTTTATGTACAGCTATTGAGGACAAAAATGATATAAATATGTAAATATGTCATGTGCAGTTATCACTTTTTGTGATAGGAATATGGATGTTTGGTAAACCGAATGTCTCCATTTAGTATTACTTGTTTCTGTCCTTTAAAACAGTCTCTATTTTTATTTTTTGATTTATATTTTGATTCACAGGGTACATGTGCAGATTCATTACCTGGGTATATTGTGTGAGGCTGAGGTTTGGGGTGTGAATGATCCTGTCACCCAGGTACCAGGCATAGTACCCAATATTTAGTTTTTCAGCCCTTACTCCCCTCCCTCTCTTCCTTTCCCCTCTAGTAGTCCCCAGTTTCTGTTGTTGCTGTCTTTATGTCCATGAGTTCCCAATGTTTAGCTTGCACTTATAAGTGAGAATGTGCAGTGTTTGGTTTTCTGTTCCTGTGTTAGTTTGCGTAGGATAATGGCCTCCAAATTCATCCATGTTTCTGTAAAGGGTGTGATTTCATTCTTTTTTTATGGCTACATAGTATTCCATAGTGTATATCTACCACAGTTTCTCTATCTCATCCACCATTCGTGGACATCTAGGTTGATTCCATGTCTTTGCTGTTGTGAACAGTGCTGCAGTGAACATGCATGTATCACTTTGGTAGAAAGATTTGTTTTCTTTTGAATATATACCCAGTAATGGGATTGCTGGATCACATGGTAGTTCTGTTTTAAGTTCTTTGAGAAATCTTTAAACTGCTTTCCACAGTGGCTGAACTAATTTATATTCCTACCAATAGTGGATAAACATTCCCTTTTCTCCACATTCTCCCTAGCATCTGTTGTTGTTGTTTTTTAACTTTTTAGTAATAGCCATTCTGAATGGTGTGAGATGGTAACTCACTGCGGTTTTGATTTGCATTTCTCTGATGATTAGTGAAGTGGAGCATTTTTTTTAAGTTTGTTGGCCATTTGTATGTCTTCTTTTGAGAAATGTCTGTTCATGTTTTTTGCCAGTTTTTAATGGAAATAGTCTTTTTAAAACATTAAGTGTTTGACTAAGATCTGGAGCTTCTGTAGTCATCCCTGGGAATTCACAGGTGATTCTTTGTAAGACCTCAGTGGATACCAAAATCTGTGGATGCTCAAGTCTCTTATAGTATAGTATAGAGGTAGTATTTACACATAACCTCTGCACATCCTTTCAAATAGTTTAAATCGTCTCTGGATTACTTATATGTAATACAATGCAAATGCTGTATAGTTAAGTTTTTAAATTTGTACTTTTTATTGTACTACTTTTTTTATTTTTTCAAAATATTTTATATCCACAATTTGTTGAATCCACAGATGTGGAACCCACTGATAACAGAAAGCAAGACTGACTGTATGTAAAATATAGATTTTGGATCAAAAAGAGTATCTTAAAAATCACGTATTTCGTCAACTGATTTGTTGGAAATGATTATTACATAAATTAATTGTGGGTAATTTTTTTCCTCTTTCTAAAGAATACAAGTCAATGACCAGATTGTAGAAGTGGATGGAATCAGCTTGGTGGGTGTGACACAGAATTTTGCAGCAACAGTTCTCAGAAACACCAAGGGCAATGTCAGGTAAATATGTGTCTTCTGATACACACCATGTTGTTACTTTAGTTGAATTTTAATTTTCTAAACTTTAACCTGCAAATAAATGTAATTACAATGACAATTTTACGTGAATAGTAAAACTTTGCTTTTAGTTTTAAATATTTTCACCTTTATTGTAATTAGTTCATGAAAATGGAATTTAAAATTACAAATCATAGTATTTTAGAAAGATATGAAGACAAGTGCAAGTGCTTGTCTTCATATCTTTCTAAAATACTATGTTTTCCAGGAAGATATAATTTCTAGTTATAACCTCAATAAATATGAATTAGGTCCCAAATCTTTTTAAGGAACACAGTTATACAATACTTGAAATGATTATACATATGGTCAATGTTGTATGTTTTTTAGATAATCAGGTTGAATAAAGGTAAGTATATTTTTAAATGTATATATTATTTTAAGGAATCAGCCATGACCAATGTTTGATGAATTATAACGTTTCCAACTTAATGCACTTAGGGTGCAATTTTTTTTTTTGGACCTTGAAATTTATATTCAACCTTGGGATTGTGAATATTGTATATTGGAAAACAAGTAAGAAAGCAGTTTAGAGCTAGTTGAAGTCAAGGTTTGAAATCAGGTATTTTTTTGCTTATAGGTTACTTACTTAAGTATTGCCTATATCATATACTTTTCCATACCTCTTGTGGAAGAAACATTAAGGAAACATTATTTAGTATGTGTAATGATGAAAATGGTTGGGTGTTCTCATTATCAAAATGAAACTGCTAAATACTCTGAAAACATTAACGAGTTAACATTGCTATATAGACAGTAACATTAGGATATTATTGCAGTATGTCTTATTTTGCTGAAGCATGAATTTAAGTTTTAGACGTTAGGCTTTTTCAACTGTAAATCATCTTCTAATACTAAAGGGATGCCTTAAGGAATATTACCTAAACTACTTCTGTGGGTGCTATGTTGATGTTTCTAGAATATCCACAGTCCTGAGAAAAGTGTGTAAAATAATTGCAAAACTGCGTGGTGCTCTCTGAGTTGTGTGGGTGGGCCCATTCAGTAAATGTGATTGTTATTTTGAAGATCACTGTGTGTTCTTAAGAGCACTTTCTCATGTCAATATAGAACTTGGTTTTGAAGCTGTCCATTAGACTTTAAAGTAAATTTTAAAATGAAATAGGTAAGATATACATTCAACTCATAAGAACATTTCTCAGTTGGAAAAGAATTTGTAGTTACATGAAACCATAGCCATCCCTTTTTTTCCCTCTGTTGACTGCATAATCTTGTGTTACTATTTTCACCTTGTACAGATTTCAGAAGTCTTCAAATGTCTTCTTAACTGATCTGTCTGATTTCACATTCTCGCTTCTTCAGTCTGCTTTGTTCACCATTACCCTCACGGAAGGACATAATTATAGTTTTCAAATACATAAAGGGCTATCATGGAAAAAGAAATTGACCTTGTTCTGCTTAGCTCTAGTACAGACTGAGTATCCCTTATGTTAAATGCTTGGAACCAGAAATGTTTCCGATTTTTTTTTTTTTTTTGGCATATTAAAGTATCTGCAATATATACTTAATAGCTGAACATCCCTAATGTGAAAATTCAAAATCTGAAATGCTCCAATGAGTACTTCCTTTGAGTGTCGTGTCAGTGCTCAAAAAGTTTTGAGTGTTCTGAACATTTTGGATTTCAGATATTTTGATGTGGGATGCTCAACCTGTATAAACTTCCACGTGCAGGGGTTTTTTGTTTGTTTGTTTGTTTTGTTTTTTGTTGTTGTTGTTTTTTGAGACAGTCTTGCTCTGTTACCCAGGCTGGAGTGCACTGGTGCCATCTTCACTCACTACAATCTCTGCCTCCTGGGTTCAAGCAATTCTCCTGCCTCAGCCTCCCAAGTAGCTGGATTACAGGCATCCGCCACCACGCCCACCTAATTTTTGTATTTTTAGTAGAGATGGAGTTTTGCCCTATTGGGCAGGCTGCTCTTGAACTCCTGACCTCAGGTAATCCGCCTGCCTCAGCCTCCCAAAGTGCTAGGATCACAGGTGTGAGCCACTGCACCCAGCCCCATGTGCAGGTTTTTGTATGGACATAAGTTTTCTATTCTACTGGGTAAATACCAAGCATGGAGCATAATTGCTGTATCATGTGGTAAGTGTATGTTTAGTTTTATAAGAAACCACCAACCCATCTTCAAACTGGCTGTACCATCTCGTATTCCCATCAGTAATGAGTGAGAGTTCCTATTGCTCCACATCCTTGCCAGCATTTGTTGTCAGTGTTTTGGATTTTGACTATTCAAATAGATGTATGGTGGAATCTGATTGCTTTAATTTCCAATTACCTTCATTGTCTATTAATATTTACAATCGGTAATGAAAAGTTTCATGTTCATATGATTTGTAATCCTTTATAGTATTTTCTTTTTTACCCCCTCTTTTGGATTTTTTTCTCTTATAATTGGGTTTTTGTAATTTTTATCAGGCTGTAACTAGATCTGTGTTTATTTGGTTTTGTGAAATTCTGCTTGGGATTCAGTCTGAAGACTTGAGTTTGGGAAATTTTCTATTATGCTTTGGTTATTTGCTTTATTTCTTTTGCATTGTCTTTGGCCTCTCTTCTCAAACCAATATTAAGTGGGGCTTAGATTTTCTGGGCATATTCTCTAGAATCTTATTTTCTCTCAGGATCTCCATCTGTTTGACTTTTTGCTAGTATGCTATAAGAGTTTCTTAAATTTTCTCTTCCAGATTACCATGTTTTTTTTTTCAGGCATGGGCTATTTTAACTGTTCTATGCTTTATTCTCAATTTTCTGTTTTTATTTCTAACTCCATTCTCTCTGCCCAGAGCTTAAGAATAGCATATCCAGCTTCGTACTTGACTTCTTCATATGACATTCCAAAAGGCACATCAAATTTAATATACTCCAAGTATTATCCTTTATTTATGTCATTCCCTGTCTTCTGCCCCTCTTCCCTGCTTTACTCCCTCCCCCTAAAAAAACTCTATATCACATGACATGCAATTGGCTGCTTCCAACTTATCAAGTCTCAGTTCAAATATCAGTTCTTCAATGAATGAGCTTTTCTCATATTTATGTTGTCCAAACTCCAATTCACTCTATCCCAATTACCATGTTTTCTCCATAGCATTCATTTACTGATCCTCTTCTGATCCTCTCCTCCTGGTTATTGACTCTCTTTTGGGTTTTCTACTGTATTGATTCCTGTCTAGTCTGTATGATAATTTGAATATGAAAGTAATGATCTGTGACTTTTGAGGCTAAGTTATAAAAGGCACTGTGGCTTTCACCCTGCTCTGTCGGATCACCAATTTTAGGGAAATGTAGCTGCCATATCAAGAATGCTTTCAACTACCCTTTCGAAGATGCCTACACAGGGAAGACGTTGAGCCTGCCAGCAGCCAGCACTAACTTAACCAGCCATGTGGGGAGGCACCTTTGAAGATCTTCCAGCCTTAGTGAAGCATTCAGATGCCTGCAGCTTCAGCTAACAACTGGTTGAATTTTGTGAGAATCATCAAGCCACAATTGAACAGACAAGCCTCCCTTGAATTCTTGACTCACAGAAACTATGGAAGATAATAAGTGTTTATAAGTTTTGGGGTAATTTGTATCAGCATCTACAACTTACACATATTTTGGTACCTGAACATGGGCTGCAGTTTAACAAAAACTGAAAATGTGAGAGTAGCTTTGGGACTGGACTGTTAGTGAGGCTGGAAGGACTATGAGGAGAGTATTAGTAAAAGCCAAAGAGATCTTACAGTGATTGCTGGGAGAAAATTGATAGCCTGTGAGGAGGAGGCTGGTGAGGGCTTAAAGAAGAAAACTATAAATGTTATTGAAAATTGGGCTGGACGCAGTGGCTCACACCTGGAATCCCAGCATTTTGGGAAGCCGAGGCAGGTGGATCGTCTGAGGTCGGGAGTTCGAGACCAGCCTGGCCAACATTGTAAAACCCCATCTCTACTAAAAATACACAAAATTAGCCAGGCGTGGTGGCACATGCCTATAATCCCAGCTACTTGGGAGGCTGAGGCAGGAGAATCACTGGAACCTAGGAGTCAGAGGTTGCAGTGAGCCGAGATCACGCCATTGCACTCCAGCCTGAGCAACAAGAATGAAGCTCCATTTCAAAAAAACAAAGAAAGAAAATTTGAAGAAGAAAGATGATCTTCATTTTGTAATGACAGAAAATTTAACAAAACTTACCTCTAGTAATATGGAAAGTAGAATATTCACTGGGACATATAACTCATAAGATTTTAAGCCATTGTTGAAAGTGTCACTAGCTGCTTCTTGCTGTATATAACTAAAATTTATGAGAAGATAGATAAGCTAAAGGAACAATTGTTAAAAATAAAGCAAATTAAATAAACTAGAAAACTTAGACAAACTGGGTAAATTTCTGGATACATATATGTAGCCTACCAAGATTGAATCAGGAAGAAATAGAAAACTAGAACAGATCAATAATAAGTAACAAGATTGTATCAGTAATAAAAATTCTCCCAAAAAAGCAAAGTCCAGGACCAAATGGCTTAAATGTCAAATTCTAGCAAACTTTCAAACAAGAACTAATACCAATTCTTCTCAAACTATTCCAAAAAATTGAAGCAGAGGGTCTTCTCCCTGATTCTTTCTATGAGGCAAGCATTACCCTGATACGAAAAGGAGATAAGGGCACAACCAAAAAGAAAACTGCAGGCCAATATTCCCAGTGAACACAGAGGCAAAAATCCTCAGTGAAATACTAGCAAACCAAGTCCAACAGTACATCAAAAAGATAATACACCATGATTAAGTGGGATTTATCCTAGGGATACAAGAATGGCTCAACATATGCAAATCAATAAAATGTGCTACATCACATCAACAGAATGAAGGACAAAAACCATATGATCATCTCAGTCGATGCAGAAAAAGCATTTGATAAAATTCAGAATCCCTTCGTGACAAAAACCCTCAA